CCTCGCTTCTTAGAGTGTTTGGTTCAGCAGTCGAAACCCACATTACCGTGGCTTTGTTTTACAATCTGTCCGCTTAAAATCCCGAACGATTCACTGCTACATTTCTAATTTTGAGTATCTCGAGAAAAGCGAGGACGAACGAAAGAATTTGTTAGCCTCAGAGTGATTGTTACTAGATTATCCGTAGGAATAAGCCGTCTTTTTTGCAGGATCCGGTTATCTTTCCAACAAGCTGGTCTATCAAGAGATGATGAATGATGTAACTTCATGACGGACAGTGTAAACAACGGAATCGGAGCTGATCAGAGCGATGCCACAGGCGAATACAACTACCATACAATGAATTATCAAGACAAGTCGAAGCCAGTACTCGCAGTTCATGAGCACATTTCAACGCTACTGATCAGGATTTGAATCCTGTACACACAATTTACTGTCTGACAAGATGTCTATACCCGATCATTTTCAATCGGTTCGGAGACCGATCTTTAGAATAGTTTATTTGGTTGACCGTTTCACAACCACTGAGCACAGCTTAAGTTGAATATTTTCATAACCAAACACCCAAACTATCCGTGCTATTTACTGTGGACAGCTACTATCCGGTTAATTTTCGCGTTCTGAATTGGAAATCATTTCCCGTAAATCCGTTAGGATTGATGCATATTCATTCCTATTGGACCGGATGAATTTTCAAGAATGCTTAAGCCTTTCTTACGCATCATCTATTCGTGCACATAGTTGCGTAAGCCACGAATAATTAGGCCCCGTTCTCCTCGTTTCGGACAAACAACAAGGCTGTGCGTGCTCTCCATCTCTGTCTATCGCGGTCTCCCTCTCGAATTATTAATTATTCAAGCAATGTCCAACTGAATACGAAATCGCGGGTCTCGAACCAGCGTCTCTCTACCTCATTTGTTTCTTCCTGAGCAAAACATCGGATTAAAGGTGAAAAGCTAAAACCCATGGTATGTTTGAACTACTTAAAAATGGAGTCCTAGTGAATTCCATTTCACCTGTTCGTCAAGCTGGGCAATTTGTTTGCAAACGTTTCTGCATCACTAGCCGAGGTGACTTCATCATCATCATCAGTGCTTGTCAAGGGGCAGTGTTCCGCTTCCTCCCGTTCGTTCATATACGTGTTCTTTTCCGCCGACTATTTTTGTCCCTTGTTCTCACTGTGTTCGACTCGGTTGGCCGTGTCAACAGTGATCCGATCACATCTGTTAGATGTGATCGTAAATGATTAGGGGAAAGATGGGACCATTCCAGACAGCTTGAGGTGTGTGATATTAACTAAGTACCAGAGATACTGTGCACATAAATAAAAAGCTCGATTCACGAACAAAACGTGATGTGTTTACCGCTACAACAAATCCCGATCTGGTTTATGCCAGCAAACATCTGGTATTTAGTAGCCAAACACAACTGGTTCGGTGGAGATTATCGACTTTTAAACTATAACAGCAATAAAAACGTCAAACTGCGACGGGGAAACATCAGATAGTTATCGTTTCGAAAAATGTTGTCACCTATAATCATAGTCATCCAGCTGGGAAAACACGGAATCAGTCGACTTCTTCGTTGAGACTGGAACCGCTTGCGTGATAGACGAATCAAAACAATGAATTGGGACATGCCAGGGGCAGATTACTAACCACCGTGCAGACAAATTTGTTTTCCCGCCGTCTNCCCCCCCCCCCCCCAACCCGACCAACTGAAGCCATAGGCCCCACGTGATTTATCATGATTGCCAATTGTTACCTTTTAACAATCACTCTCTTTCTTATGAAATCATAACACTAAATCCAAATAGTTTATCTCCTCTATTCTGTTCCTAACGTATTTCTTCCGAAACACCTTCAATTTTTGCGGAACATTTCACGGGTGATCAATCAACAAGAACAAAAGAAAAGCCGGATTTACATTTACATTTTCCATGTCATACTCACTGTTCAGTTTTTGCCTATTCAGAAGTAACCCAATATACAATCACCATAGAAACGAGTTCAATTTCCCAAATGTATATGTCCTATATGCTTTTGTATTTTTCATATCGATTCATTCCCGTGCATGTAACATGAAAGATTGGGTTTTCCTCACTTTTTTTCAAAAAATAACAAAACAAAGAAATAAGCCGGTACAGTAGATAACTCTAAGTTTTGCATGCCATTTAGGTAGCTAGCACACAATACGGAGAAGAACTGATTATTCCTTGACACTCAAAATGTGGATCGGTGTGTTATCACTAAGCGCGAGAGACAGATTTCAATGATGCCTGAATAACTATGCAAGCGATAAAAAATATAACGTAGATGATAGGGACTAACCAAATCAGTCAACGGTTACCATCGCCTCAGAGCTTCACACCTTGTAACGAAACTTACTTCAAGCCAACTCAGCTGCTTTTCAATGCCGAGATGTTGGGAACTATCGCTTGCAATACGATCATAGAATAGAACAGAAGTGAAGTGAAGTGAAGTGAACCGATGCCATATGAGAGAACAATGATGACAGAGTTCAACAAACAGCCTTGAAGATCGTCTACTACTACTACTACCACTACTACTACTACTACTAATAATAATAATAATAATAAGGCGTTCGACTGAAAGTCCGTTTCGATTGCTAGTAATGTGAAAGGGATCGATCGTTGGACAATCAGTCGCGTTCACACTCAGCCACTATGTCTTATTCCATGGTACATTTTCGCCTACTAAAGGGACACACCTTTCCACAGGAACCATACAGACGTAAGCGAAACTGATCCAGCAGGAACTTTTTCTATCACCATCACCTAACTCGATGCTCGTTATCTATAGATTAACTGTTTGCATTCGAGACTTTTCTGAGTTCACAGGCTTGGATGGTCGGTTTTAAATTGTGCTGAGTGAATCCTAAATCCCAGTCAACTTCGAGGAATGAATGAAATTAATCTACCAGTTTGCCAAGGTAGTAGGGACGAACCAAGAAATGTCTGAGACAATTCTAATCATTGCATTTGTTGTTTCACCTAAACCGAATCAATGCATATTCATACTAATGTCGATAGGACCGCACTATGGAACTGATTGATTGTTGAGGAACGGATTACTTGAGACCGATCCTCAAAGAGTTGTACCGTCATACCTCAGGTCGGGTGAGAGCCCATGGCCAACTTTCGCCACCTTTCGCCGTTTCGAGTGGAGTTCGACAAGGCGGATCGATATCCCCGTTTATTTTTAACTCCGCGATATAGGATGTTCTGCAGAATGCTTCGTTCGGTCTAGCAAACGGTGGAGTCGAACTCCTCCCAGGAAACAGCGTTATCGACTTAAGATATGCCGATGACATCACCTTGCTGGGTGACAACACATAAGCAGTCCAAGACGCTTTAAACCGCTTGGCGATATAGGTATCCAGGTATGGCATGCGCTTTGCACCTTCAAAGTGCAAAATGCTTGTTCAAGACTGTCAGGAGCCTGTGCTTGTCTTCACCCACTGGAGCAAGTGGTCGACCTCCATAGATTACGTTAGTTGGGTATGTGTTACACATGACTCCAAATAGGTTGCCACGGCGAGCGATGTTTGCCGAGGCAGGTAGTGGGTGGAAGAAAGCCAAGGGTGGTCAAGCTAAGACCTGGCATGAGGGTATGAAAACCCTAACCAGGAGTCTAGGTCACACAGGTCTCGTTAGGCTCCCTGGTTGATGACCTGGGGATGGTCGTATCCGATGGTTAGAGACACTGAATGATATGGCAAGGTGTCGTAAACAGTGGCGTTCGTGCATCTTCTCAATTTCTTAGTATCATTAATCCACTGAAATTTTTAATCTTCTCGTCGATCCTACTTTCAACCTTTCCTGTCTTTCTCCTAATGTTCATCCAAATGGGCATCCAAAAGATAGCAACCAAAACCGGCACACGATAGTGCACGGTTAATGGTTGTGTAAACTGAACTAAACTGAACTTACCCTCTGTGGTGATCAGCTGGAAGCAGTTGAGAGCTTTAAGTACCTCAGGAGCTTGATGGCAGCTGGTACTGGATTTGGAGGGGAGATCACATCACGAATAGTGAACGTTAAAACAGTTTTTGCCAAGCTGCGACACCTGTGGCACACCTACGACATCCAACTGTGCCCTAACGGGATGTACATCGCGGCGGTTTGCAGTGGTCTGCTCTACGGTTGCGAGATGTGGCCTCTCCGCGTTGCGGATGCTAATTGACTTTCTTTATTCGCCCACCGATGTCACTGAAGCTCGTGTCTGGTGGGAACATCGGGTGAGCAATGA